TCCAGCATCTGCAGTTCCTACTATCTCTAATGACAAAGTAATCAGGCTCATTGGCATCATTTGAAAAATAAAAGGCAATTAGTACACAAAGTTAAGTCATCTTTTCTTGTTTAAATAGTGTCACAGGACTATTTATATCCACCTCAGAACAGGCAAAGATTAAGCAAGTGTCAGTTTAAATTATGTATTCAGGTCTGCAGAGTGGGACTCGACCCCATAAACTTTGGCTCAGAAGCAAGTATTTTACCGGTAACACAAAGTCTCAGGTCTTAACCATTTTGAACACTTTTCCTTATGGGTTCTTCATGGTATTCAAATAAAAATATTTTGAGCTGCCACCATCTCAAATTCATCTTTTTCCAAACTGTGGAACTTCTGACCTCCCAATATTTTGTCCAATCTACACTTCCTTAAAATCCAGGCTTGGTCTTGCTTGTCATTGTTGTGACACTTTTTTCAACCACGGTTGCTCCTATACCTTGGGCTGTGGCAATTCATGTAAATTTATTAGGTGGATGGGCAAAACAAAATTAAATTAAATGCTACTAATTGTGAAGAAGCTACATTGTTTTGAGACCTGAAATTACCTGTAATAACATTGTCACTGCCATTAGTGAGCTTACCTGTAAATTGATCATTGCAACCAGTTTGTGTTCCACCTGCATTGGAGTACGCCAGATGAGAATAATTGCGTAAGTTCTTATTAATTACACATGAAATAGACAGCAAATAGAGACAGATGGCAAGATTTGAAGCTGGCTAATGGCATGCATTCCAGTGCGAGAGAATGCAGGACAGTTCTCATGCACCTGTAATGTAATTTTTATGGTAACCCTTCTTCCTCATAGAGAGACATATAAATGACACACGTTTATTTGGAAGTCAGATTGTGCGCAAATCCAATAAATAATGGCAAATGTTACAGCTCAGTGGTGAGCACTTTCCTTTCAGACGTTATAGCTGCTGTACAAATTAATTATCAACATACCCGTGGTATATCTCTCAAACATTTGGCCATTGTTTTTGGTTGTGACATGATTTGCAGAGCTCCTGGAAACTTAGAGAATAACCTAAACCTTTTCACACCAATTTAAAATTTCCAAGTGCTAGTTTGTGCTTTGTCAGACAGCGGTAATAAAGAACATCAGCACACAGAGTGCACAGTGTCTGTACTCTAACAGCAATAAAGTTTTACCTACATTCAGAGCAGAGCAGCCATAAAATAGCAATATTAATGTTTCCAGTGTGCTCAATACAGTGATTGCAAGTTCTGGTTATGGCAGGCAAGAGATTTTGAATGAAAAATGACCTGTAAGGGCTGCCAAATCTATTAAATGTGTTGCAGACTTTTTTTTTAGCAAGCATACAACGAATAGAAAAAAAACACTCATTTCATGTTAATCTCAAAGATCCGAACTTATTAACACATTTAAAAACAGAGCAGTACATGTTTCAGCTCTTTATAAGGAGTGAATTAAAATATTCAACTTACACTAAATTTCAGAGCATTGTTCATTCCTCACTGAGCTAAGGCAGTATGCCTCAAATATACAGAATGTGGAGGGGCACTACTTCCATACAAATATAGTTAGTCAACTATTTGTGTTTTCCTACGGAACATTATGATATCAATTGATGCCACTTGAGGTATTGAAAGGAATTGAACAATACACAACATCCCAAATAAGAGGAGGAACTGGGGAATGAATGAGTTTTTCTTTTTTTATCTCTACAACAGGCAGCTACATGCCTTTAACAACAACTTAATCAGTTGAGGTTCCTCAGAAGTATAATCAGAAGAGGCCTGAGGATTGCAGAATTTTCAAGGAAATGACACATAGGGTTCATGGTGATAGAAATATCAAGAGATTTAAACACAATATGAAACATTAGAGAATTGGGAGCCAGTAACTGTGAAGATGCAGATGAACAATGAAGTAGCGGAACATGGTGCAGGATCTAATATGAGCAGCAGAGTTTTAGATGGTGTGAAAATGTATTAAAGGTGAAGGGTGGAATCAAAGCCAGGAGTACCTCGAGGTAACAAAGTATTCTGTTCCTCCAGCAGGGGAGCTGTGTACGTGACAACATTCATGGATTAAAAGTGAAGCGTGACTATTGTTGGAGCTGCTGAGTGGCACGTGTCAAGTTGATAATGTGACGTTATGTTTCCACAGATTTTCACAGTGAGTAGAACAAAATATCTTAAAATGCTTTGTAGAATTGAACACAGAACAGGGCTGTGAAGAAGGGTTGGAGGCTTGGTCAAAGAGCTAGCTTAGAGACGTGTAAAGGCAGAGAGTTACCAAACTCACTGAGTTGAAGTGCCATGTTGGCTGAAAGTTTAGCCCTCTAGGATAAAGCAGAGAACAGACAGTGATGCACAACAGTGTAGATTCAGAAACATATGGATTGTGTGCTGGGCTATAGGGATGGAGAAATCCGCAGTAGTAAGTTTGGTATAAGTCTGCAGAGGGTTTCTTAAATAAGCGTAATGATTTTGAAACAATGCATTGAATTTAGAGTTACTAAGCATAATTCCTCGGTGAGATGAGAATGGTGTCATGACCATGGGTCAGAACCCTAAAATACTGTGAATATTTGTAGCCCTAATGTCTGAAATGTGCTTTGAAAAGAGGACTGCCAGAAGGACAATGACTGCAGATGTTAAAAAAAAAACTTCTGTTCGGGACCAATGAAATGTAACATCTACAAGTATCAAAGAAACTTCAAACAGGCCGGACTGTGATCTCTTGACAACATGGATAATGAAGGGCTGACAATACCCTGCTTAAGAGCAAGCCACCCCTTCAAGTTGTGTCCCAAACTCCAGACACATTTTGTGCTTTTCCCCTTTGAAGAATACACAAAATCAAGGGTTTAAAAAGTCAGTTTCAACTCTACTGGATTGGATTAGTGGAACTGAATGTTTTCATATGTATCTGCCTGGATTTGGGCATTAGCGTGCTGTAAAGATCACAGTGAAAGGATTATCTCCTAGTTACTGAATGTTGCTGGTAAAGGAAGATCCTGAGTGCAGTTAGTTTAAAAAAAAACTTAGGATAAAGGAAATTCAATAAACCCATAAAACCAAGAATCTCAAAAAGTAACTGTCTAACTACAATGTTAAAGCTACTGTAACACCCACTGGAAATGCTAAAATGTTCAACTATCCACTCATTACAAGCGATTCAGAGACTGATCCTTTATTTTAAATTTTTATATTTTTGGACTCACCGCTTATTTCTAATATGCCGTGTTACTGATTTTTCTCACATTTCCTAATTAGTAAACTCTTTGTTAATTCAACACTTAAATTGTTTAATTGACTCTTTTTAAAATGTAAGTTCATTTTGGTCTCGGAGAAAGGTGAATGGGAAGGGATCATTTTTAAATTAATCTTGTTGTAACCAACTGAAGGGTTGTGAATAAAGAAGGCTGGGGGAGGGGCAGTTCATCCCTCCTTATCCAGGAACTCATATTGGGAATATTGCTTGGCGTCCAGTCATAGCAATGCGATTTGATACAGGTTTTAAAAAAAAGTGTGGATGCTGGAAATTCGAAACAAAAACAGAAATTGCTAGAAAATCTCATTAGGAGAGAATACAGAGTTAATGTTTTGGGTCCAGTGATCCTTCTTCAGAACAGGATATAGTGAGTTCTGAATAAGGGTCACTTGACCTGAAACATTAACTCTGATTTCTCTCCACGGATATTGCCAGACCTGCTGAGATTTTTCAGCAATTTTTGCATTTGTTTGGATATGAAACTGATGATGAGTAAACAGCAGGATCCTTCTACTTTCATTATTGAACTAAGAAGTCAAATTTTTGTGGAAACCAAAGAGGGTGTCCCACACTGATTCTGATAAAAGCATGCACCTTATTGTATTTCCGTTCACTTGCTGTTTCTCAATGGAATCATTGGGCATGGGCTGTTCTAGTCTAGTCTTTCTGTCCTTTCCAATACTACAAGCATCATGAAATAATGCATGATACATGATTAATCCTAAAATATAGCCCAGAATATCGAAGGATATTAAGTTCATAAAGCATTTGGAGTTGATGCAGGGATCTCAGATAGCTACATGGATGCCTGGTACTCGTGGGAGTTCTGCTGGACAGTATCAGTTTTGTTACCAATCCAGTTGATTGCTCCTTTCCATAGGTTAAGTGAAAAAGATGTGTTCTCTTGCAAACTTGGTGCTCGTTATTTGCTCGATGTGTCTATGGATAGCAGGATGGCTAATCCGGCATATGCTTCTGTGATGGCTTAGAAAGGTCCAGTTGCTTAAAAGATTAGTACAGCGTTGGCCTTTATAGCTGTAGGTTGAATTATTTCCATTGTTGAATTTGACTGCTAGGCAGAGTGGATCAGATGCTGTAACTCAACGACTGGTCCATATATAAAGGTGGATGCTGTTGAATGTAAGTCTCTTCTGACATGTCCAGCAAGGTTGGTATTCATGGTCTGATGCACATGTTCATATGGCAGAAGCCCCTGATTTCTCCCTCTTTGCCAAATTCACATTTTTCTTGTCCGTAAGTGACAACTTTTAGAATTCCAAATGTATCTTTGTCTTGAGTATTTTCCTTCTGCCTAAAATAATTTATTCTCCCAAGCTTTTAACAAATGAAATGAAACAAACATACTGAACATTATCAACAAATATAAAATCAATGCAGGAAACCTTGTTGGATTGAAGTGTTTTGAAAATAATTTTGAGACCTCAGCTCTAATGTAATTGCAGAGTTTCAGCATTAAGGTATGTTATACACTACTTGTGGTCCTTTCCTTAATGCAGAACTCAGTATTATTACATGGTGCTGGCTTAATAAACATAGTCTGAAAAATCTGCAACTTATTGAATGTAACATTGCAAAACAATCTGAAAATTAGAATTAATAGACTCCTTGAATCAAAGTAAATCAGGAACAATAAACTGCAGACATGACAACACAAATATTTAATGATGTATTTCAAAAAGATGATCTAATATATTAATCATTCATGCCATTTTAAGCAGTAGGATGACATTCTTATAAAATTTTCTGTTCAATGAAATCTATTACTATAATTACCAACCTATAATGGTGTGGTCATGAATGCCATTGTTCTTCATCAGGTATTTATTCTTTTCCTTCATGGGTCTAAGAAATGTATCTGTTACTTGTTTGTCAAAGAACATACATTATGTGTAATTATTGCTGACAACAAGTTGATGTGGGATGTCTGCCCCCTTGTGCTTTGATGTCTTTTCTGTTTGACTGAAGCAAATATAAGCAAACAGAACAAGTATAGTTTATGAAAATGACATGGTAGTGTCTTGCTTACAATATTGTAAACATAGCAACATTGACTTCAGAAAGGAGATCAATTGAGTTTGAAAGAAATTTTGATCTTGTTACATGTCATTTGCACAGAGGGAGACAAGTGACCAAAAGGAGATTTGAAGAATGAGAGGCGTTCTCATCGAAATGTGTAAGGTTCTGAAGGAGCTTAATAGTGTGGATGTTGAGAGAATATTTTCACTCATGGGTGAATGTAGAACTGGAGGACATTGATTCAGAAAAAAAAGGGTTCATCCATTTAATAAGATGAGGGTTTTTTCTTTTGATTCTGAGGGGGTTGTATATCTTTTGGAATTGCCTCTCCAGAGATCCATAGAGGAAGGATCATTGAATACATTCAAGGCTGAGATAGACAAACTATTGAACTATTGGTGAGTTGAGTGGTATCAGAAATAAACAGAAAGTGACAAAAGCAGAGTACCATGAATGCTGGAAATCTTCAATAGAAACAGAATGCTGGAGAAATTCAGAAGGTTTGACAACAACTGTGGAGAGAGAAACAGAGTAAATATTTCCAACGTGACATGGCTTTCTGTCGGAACTTACGAGATGGAAAAGATGGTTTAGTTCTGTGAAAAAAGAAAGGTGGGGAGGGGCAAGTCAAACAGGATGTAATGTTGTGAAAAGGTTTAAATGATGTTGTTTGAAGATTAAACATTGGTCAGGACACCAGTTGGGAAGAGTACTCTTTAATTCATGCCATGATTTATCAACAGGAAGGCTAGGCAAGGCCGTAGTTTGACACCTCATTTGAAAAATTGTACGACCAACAGTGCAGCACATCATCAGAACTACTTTGGAGTGCGAACTGGATCCTTTGCTCAAATCTTTGGAAGCTGGAACCAACAACATTCTGACACTGAGGAACTCTTGCTTGTATTGAACTTCTTAACAAAGAGATTTTATCCAAAAGAATCAACTGGCAAAACACCAAATAGAATAAATTGCATAAATCTGCCATTTTAATGAGTAAACAAATGTATATACTGGCAGAAGTGTACATGATTATACGCACATGTGCATGTAAATGTATAACAGAAAAGTTTGCCCTTTTATCAACAGCAGTTGGAACAGGAATCCTTCACTCAAGCACAAGCACAAGTGAAAATTTAAAGTTGGTATTAGGTGTGTGTGTGTAGTGTGAATGTGGCAGTACATATGCACTGTCTTACTGCCTGCCCCACAAAAACTAATAAAATCAGCAGGAAGTTCACAGTAGTTGTGGGAGGCTCCTGAAGGAGCAATGTAGGATTCGCACATCATCTAGAGGTGTTAGAACATTAACTTAGCTGAAGACTTCAACGTGAAATTTGTAATGTGCAATCGTTTTGTTTCACAATTACTTCATTGTTTAAGCATTAAGCTTTCAAATCTGTTCAAAATTTACTCTTTGTACAAGTTTTAATGAAGAGATCTCGACAATTTTTGGTTCATACTATTATGTGTGAATGTGCCCTGTGTTTCTAGATTCCATTCAGACTGCCCCTGTTTTGGACTCTAATTTTGTACTGAATTCAACTTCTTTGGCTTAATAATTTACCTCCTTGCAACACACCACCTGAACTGTTTGCTAAAATAAAAGAAATGTTATTTTCCTTGGATTTGTTTCTTGTTGTATCTTTGCTTCTCAAACATTTGTATTGCTTCATCTAGATAAACTCACTTTCCCTCATCCGATATTTCCAACACACCTTTAATTTATCTGACGACTTACCTTCAATTATTTATGTTCCAGAATTTCAACACCAGCAGTAAAAATGACACAGTATATGCCAATTAAATAACCGCATGATTTTTTTTGAAAAACAAAGAAAAGCATGTGATGTAATTTCCTTTCAAAAACACAGATGACAAGATTTTGATTCATGTTCATATTGGTTTCAAAACATGCCACAGTGCCTTGAGGAAAAAAAAATCATATGCAGGTTGATTGCTTGTAGCACCCTATAAAATGTCTAAATCTATATAGCATTGGTGGCAATACCAGTCTATTTTATTTTAGATATCCTGCAAGAGTAGGGTAGTGATTGTAATGGGTTCATCCAGGTGGACCACATAGAAGGAGTTCCCTGATTGGGTCTGTTCATCTGGTCCAAACAGGGAGCCCTGGCTGACAGATATGAACAGGAGTGTCGGAGGTTCTGTTCAGTCTGAGATCTGGCTCTGAGGAAACTGAATCAGTGTCAAGCACTCTCCATGTGCAAATAAAGGGTGATGTAGAGGTGCCGGTGTTGGACTGTGGTGGACAAAATCAGAAGTCACACACCAACAGTTTATAGTCCAACATGCCTATTTGAAATCACAAGCTTTCTGAGCGCTGCTCCTTTGTCATTTGAAATAAAGGGTGACTTAGAGACAGGATACTGGCCTCTGTAGAGTTCTTTCAAGTGGCCCCACAATGCAGCAGAGAATCAACAGTATATTTCTCCTAATTAAACAGCATACTGATTTTCCTTTTTACAAGGCTTTTAACTGAAAGTAATGGAAGTGCTGATTAAATTAATATTCTTGGGTTCAGCTGTGTAGGATATTTGTAGATGGTATACATCGTGTAGTTCATCAAGTCAGGGCACAGAATTAATATCCGATTTATATTGCAGTCCTATTACAGTCGATGTGGTATGCTGCCAACACTATAATGCAGCAAACGTCCAGAAGGAAAATAAGCTGTAGCTCAGTTGTTAACATACTTTTTTATTTCAAAAACATTCTATTATTAAAAAGCCTATATATACATACATAGTCACGAGAGGAGTTCAATTCTGGACAATCTTTATACATGGAGAACAAATAAAGCCAAAGCAGTTCTTACTTATACATGACTATATTTACGTACATTTGAGGCACTGGGCAGGTCTGAATGGATCCCCATTTAACTTTGTCAGAAAGACCTTAGATGGTGGTCTTTCCCCACTATGCCTTGGTGGCAGCTTCCCCAAGCTTTAATGCATCCCTCAGCATGTAGTCCTGTACCTTGGAATGTGTCAGTCTGCAACACTAGGTTGAGGTCGAATCCTTGCTCTGGAAGACCAACAAGTTTTGGGCAGACCAAAAAGCTTCTTTTTCTGAGTTGATGGTCCTTCAGGTGCAGTCAATGTTTGTCTTGGTGTGTGTCCTGGGGAACAGACCGTAGAGCACAAAGTTCTGTGTCATGGAGTTGCTCAGGATGAACCTCGACAAAACCACTGCATCTTCTTCCAGACTTCCTTTGCATAGGCACATTCCAGAAGGGGATATGTGACAGTCTCTACCCCCTCTCCCACAGCTGTTTTGAGGGCAGCATGTGGTGGCACAGAGTCCATGCATACATGAAGCATCTCACAGGTAGTGCCCTTCTCATCACCAGCCAAGCGATGTCTCAGTGCTTATTGGAAAGTTCTGATGATGAGGTATTCTGCCAAATGACTGACAGTATGCTCAGGGAACCACACAACTTGATCCACCCTCTTCTTTTCCTTCAGGGTCTCGAAGACACAACATGCTGACCACTTCCGGTTGGACTTACGGTCAAAGGTGTTTTACTTTGCAAATTTCTCTATGAAGGACAGCTGGTAAGGAACATTCTGGCAGCACACTCACCTCTGAGCTGGAATATTCCAGGCTCAAGCCTCACTTCTTGGGGTTCAGTACAAAAATCGAGGCCACTCTCATATTAAGGGATAGCTACACAGTCAGAGGTACTGTTTTTTTTAAAGTGAGAAGCTAGCTCCATGTTTTGTCTGCCATTTCATGTAAACTCAAAGCACCCATGTCACTGTTTTGAGGAACAGTGAAAATTTAAAAAGACCATCAAACTGGATCAAGATTCTGGAATTCCCTCACTGAGGGCATTGTGGGTCAACCTACAGCAATTCAAGAAGACAACTCACCATCACCTTCTTAAGGGCAACTATGGTCAGGCAATAAATGCTGACCCAGCGAGCAATGCCCATGTCGCATGACTAAGTAATAAAAGTTACAAAAATTACATTAGTGGTAAGCCAGAGGTTGCAATAGGTTTAAAAAAAGCAAGTTACCAAAACAAATAAAGGAGTAAGACAATCAACTTTGAGGGTAAACAAAGAAGTAATATAAAAATTGACAGTAAAAGTTTCTTGAATGTAAAAGAAAAGGAAACAAGGAGGACCAAAGTTAAAATGGGCCCCTAGAGCAGTGCCGCTTAACCGGTAGGCCATCCCTTGGAGAGATGCAAATGTTATCCAGGTGAAACCGCAAGAGTGGACATCTTTTCCAAGGAAATGCAACCACAGGATTCTCACGAATGACTAACTCATTATCTCATTTTGTATTTTACAAGCATAACTTATCATCAGCAAAATCATTACAATTTTTAACATCCTTAAAAATTTCCATTAACAGTTCATACAAATCTAAAAAGGCATGCAAACTTTAAAGTTTTGGTAAAGATCTATAGCTCGGGTTGTGGGTGAGGTTGTTGACTTGCTCGCCAAGCTGGCTTGTTCTCGTTCAGACATTTCATCACCATGCTAGGTGACATCATCAGTGAGTCCTCCGATGAAGCGATGTTATTCTACTCCGCTTGGAATTCATATTGTCTGGTCTGTTAAGAATACTCTCCTTAATATTGGTACACTCAGACAATGAAGGCCATCAGTTTAACTGGAACAAGGTAACCATAGTAGCCCAAGCCAAACATAGACACACATGGGAATTCCTAGAGGCATGGTTCTCCTCTCATAATGCAATCAACAACATATAGATTTGGACCCCATATACAAACCCATACAGATCAAACCAGAAATGACACTACTCACCATAACGGACCAGACAGTATAAATTCCAAGCAGAATAGAATAGCATTGCTTGATTGGAGGCTCCACTGATGATGTCACCCAGCATGGTGACAAAATGTCTGAATGAGAACAAACCAGCTCGGCAAGCAAGTCAACAACCTTAGGAATGCAAATATAGAAACACAATCCTTAGAAAAGGTGGGGCTTTGTTTTGATCATGATGAGACCAGGCTTTTTGATAAAATGGTTTGTGGTTCACAAAATGCAAAAGATTGAGAACTATTGTCTTTGAGAATGAGGTTGGAGAAATATAAATGGCGAACCAGGAAATGGCAGAGGAGCTATGTAAAAACTTTGCATCACTCTTAACAGTAGAACATACTGTTAGCATTACAAAAATACTAAATAATCAAGGGACAAAAGTGGGGATGAAAAAGTAAATGCAATAACTATCACTAGAGAAAATGTTCGAGGATAGGTAATGGAGTAAGAGGTCAATAAATCCCTGGGATTTGGTGGGTTACAACCTGGAAAATTAAAGGAAGTAGTTACAGAGATAATGAATCCATCAGTCGTAATCTTCTAAGGATACTTAGATTCTGTTCAAGTCCCAGAGGATTAGAAAGCTACCAATGTAACACCCTTATTCAAAAAGGGAAGAAGACAAAATAATGTAATCATAGGACACTTAGTTTAACATCTGTCAGTGTGAAAATGTTAGAGTCTATTTTAAAGAATGCAAAATTAGAGGATTTAAAGATACATAATTTAATCAAGCAGAGTCAGCATAGCTTCATGAAGGGGAAATCATGCCAAACAAATTTATTAGGATTCCATGGTGAGGTCACATGCAGGATAGATAAAGGAGAACCAGTAGATAATATATATATTTTGATTTCCAAAAGGCATTTGCTAAGATACCTCACATAAGATTGCTTAACAGAATAGAATAGTAATTCATTGTCACTTGTATTTTTTACAAAAATAATAGTGAAAAGTGTTTAATTTGCCATATCACAGCACCTATATCAATAACAGAAGGCAAGAAAAAAATTAAGAGAATCTTAGTTCAGTTCATAGCTCCTGGATTTGGGAAAAGACAGTACTGCTGAAGAAAGCTGACAAAGCCGCCACCAAAGAAGAAGACCACCAAGCTGGGCTGCTAGAATCCCCAGCTGCAAGACTCTGCAGAAGCAGCTGCAAGGACCAATCTTGTCACCAAAGCAGGCCATCCACTCTGACTGCTGGAATCTTGGGCCGCAAGATTCTGCAGAATCCTGAAGCCGCCCCAAAGGACCCACCTCGTCACAAATCCTGGGCCGGAAGATGTTGCAGAAGCTGCCCAAAGGAATTCTGGGCCGTTGTATGCCGGACTGAAACGACTTCATCGCTGAAGCTGTCACTGGCCTGGGCCGATGGAATCCCAAGCCATGCTACCTAAGATAGACCACCACCAGCCACAGCCTCAATGGCCATGAGGAACCACCATTGTCGCCACAGCAGCTGCCAGAAGCATCTTCCTTCACCGAAGCTGTCAAAAGAAGGTAAGATGAATATTGATGTTAAAAATAATAAATGGACAATTTTATTTTTCGAAATGAAGAATGCGGAGGCCTGGAAATTAGAAACAGACTGGTTCATGACCCCAAACACTTCCTATCCTGCTGTCCCCAACTTGTAGGTACATGTAGGAGCCAATGGCCTAGGGACAGAATATTAGCATGGATATTAGCAGATTGGCTAACCAATAGATGACAGCATGCTGGGCTAAAAGGAGCATTTTCAGATGGCAACCTGT